TTATTAAATAAAGGAATGCTTCAATTTTCTTGCCCTGGTGTGCGGCTGCTGCCATCCATCTATTTTTCGTGGTACTTATTTTCTGCTGTTTTTTTTATTGTTCAGTTCAATGTGTGTCATTAAGTGACCCCAGTTACGGTTGTTCGATGACGATAAAACCAAAAAGGAACGATTGAGTAGTGAGTGTTGCTGTGGCATGACCACACATTACATGATGTTGGTGGTGGTTGATGTTGCATGTGCCACAAAACAACAACAAAAACATCTCAACTCCTTTGGCATGTATGGTATGTTCGGTTGTCTGAAAAAGGTGATGGCAAAGCAGATGATGTTGCAGCGGTTGGACGTTGTTGCTGTCGATGGCATTACCTTTAGACAGACGAAGTCTACCAAGGAAACAAACAAATCGAAAGCAGTTAACGCACTTCAGTACCAAACAGACATAAGTCATTCGTATTCAATGATCCTTTTTCGTTTTGGGATGAGGATGAGTGGTTGGTGGTGGCATTTACGTTGAGAAATTGCTGCTGTTCTGTTGGATGGTGGTGGCAATGGCGTTGTTATATTTACGTTTGTTGTAGTGTTTTTGTTGTTCGTTTTTCGCCAACATGTTAAACATGATTTTAACATGTTTTTGCAATTTGGTAGTAAAGTAATAATTGGTTTAAGTTGTGTTCTGTTTTCGTTTTTTTTTTTTTGGTCTTTTACTCTCTTGTCTGATAATGTAGTTCAACTCTTTAGATTCATTGGCTGATTTTTTTTTTTTTTTTTTGTAAATGATGATCGACTGATTTGCTACCTACTGGAATTCTTTTTAACATTTTATTTTTCATGTTTTCATTCCGTGTAGAAGAAACATTTGTAAAGAAGGAAGTGCTATATATTTTCATGTAGCATCCCATTATATGATGCGGGGCCCTAGCACTCACTCATTCTGCCATGTAGGCATTCATATCTTGTCAACATCATCGCAGACTTCATCAACTACGATTTTGTGTTATTGTTGTTGTCTGTTCTGGTTTACAACCAATAGCTGCTGAGTAGCACTTATCCGATTGTAAACAACGACAGTAGTTTTGAAAATGATTTACAGAGTAAAAATTGTATGTTGTTGTTAAAGAGATTATTATGTGTGGATATGCACAGTAGTTCGGTGATATTAAAATATATAAAAATATAAGCGTCGACCATAACCGGAACTTCATGTAAAATTTCAATGCGATCGTCACGACAATTCCGCCCTCTAATGGGGTAATAGTAATACTGAACAATATCAAAACACATCGACACCGTTAAGGGGATCTCCCCCATTCACGATTTTAAATGTTCAAGATTTTCATTGGGCTGGTAAACGAATACCAATGCATGTTAAGGTATATTTGAAGATTTAAAAAATAATTTTCAAAATTTGGTTGTTGTTGTTTTTGGTGATTAAGAAAAGTTCTTTTTTGAAAATTCTCACTCACTTGTCGTATATCTTCAAGAGTTTTTGAGATTTTCACTTGAAATTTTGTAGGGACATTCTTGAATTAGTGTAGAACCAGTAAGGAAAGTAGTAAAGTCGGACGGGGCCGACTATATGATACCCTTCACCACTGTGGGTATATTAAACAGATGAATCCTAACAGACGTCGCATTATTGAAGGACCATTAACATGGAATTAAACATGTCACTAAACCTATACTAAATTTTGGTCAGATATAGAGTTGCTTCTTACAATGGGATAAAATAATGTAAATAAATTTAAAGCAAAATATCGAAATCTAAACCGATTTCAACGAAACTTGTCCAAAGACATAAAAACCGTAAAGACTCGACAAAATGCATTATGACCAAATAGTTTATAAAAAATATCCAGGGGGAATCAGGTATAACAGAGGCATGTTAACAATAAAAACGCCATTACGCGATAATGTGTTTGTAAAATCTAAATAAAATCAGAGATATGCACTCAAAATATATTTTTTTATTTAATAAGCTTAAGATATAGCAGTAAAAACGTTTAATATTGTTCTCTCTGTTGTTATGATATCGTAACAACAGAGGAAAAACCATCTGTTGGAAATTGTTTACGTATCAATTGTCCTATCTTTATACTTTTATGTCTTTGACTTGCCACATGTGAGGTTACTCTTATTTCAGTATGTTTTTTGCATTTGGCCACATTTTGAGTTCTTTATTTACTTATAAATCCAAATTTACTTATAAATCCAAAATCGGACGAAAATATATATGGGAGCTATATCTAAATCTGAACTTGGCACACATCATTCTACACTTAATTCAGTACCTTATGTCAAATTTTGTGCAAATCGAATGATATATAGGGACTTTGGTGCACCATTTACATAAAAACGGACGAAAATATATATGGGAGCTATATCTAAATCGGAACCGATTTTCACGAAATTTAACACAGATCGTTCTAGACTTAGTTCACACAAATTGCAAATCGGAGGATATATAGGGACTTTGGTGCACCATTTACATAAAATCGGACCAAAATATATACGGGAGCTTTATCTAAATTTGAACCGATTTCCACGAAACTTAACACATGTCATTTTAGACTTAATTCAGTACGCTATGCCAAATTTCTTGCAAATCGAAGGATATATAGGGACTTTGGTGCACCATTTACCTAAAATCGGACGAATATATATATGGGAGCTATATCTAAATCTGAATCGATTTTCAGGAAACTTAACACACATCATTCTAGACCCTATTAATTACTCTGTGTCAAATTTCGTACAAATCGAAAGATATATAGGGACTTTGGTACACCATTTACCTTAAATCGTTCGAAAATATATATGGGAGCTATATCTAAATCTGAACCAATTTTTCCCAATTTCAATAGGGTTCGTCCTTGTGCCAGTTAAGTGACCTGTGCCAAATTTCATCCAAATCGGATCATAAATGCGACCTGTACTTTGTTAACAAAAATACATGGACAGACGGACATGCATAAATCGACTCAAAAAGTGATTCTATGCATATTCTCAAAAGGAACCATGGGTCCATCTCGATTATTTTTGCCTGTTACAAACATATGCACAAAGACATAATACCCTGTACCACAGTGTGGTGAATAAAAATAAAATGAATAAATAAAAATATTTGACACCGAGAATGGGGGGTCCTCTTAAATATTTACGTATGTCTCCCACATCCGAGTACATACAGCTATATAATTGGTATCAATAACACCTCTGGTATATACCATCAATTTCTCTCGTTTGACCGGCTAAATATTGACCGATCTTCATCAAAACAGTCATGCTTACTCTTTGGCCAGACTCCCTTCCTATTGTAACATTTCATGGTGTTAAGGTCATAATTATGGCCTCAGCTAGGCGAGATATGACTGTATACTAAAATGTGGGTCAAGGACAGTGTGCCTTTAATATGAGGGCTACAGTGGCGAGCAATAATGTACAAATGTTTGTACATTTCTACTACAACGTTTATAAAAATTGTTTTTGGTTGGACGATTTTCTGGAAAATGAGAATTTGCGCCATTGGACCCTTTGTGTGAAAAACGTGCCCACCGGACCAAAATACTGTATGATGTAGGATTCGTTCGTTCGAGGTTAACCCGAAACATGTACTCATATTGATAATTTTTGGAAATGATATTTATCACAAAGAATGAAGAACGCAAAATGTCAAATTCCAGCGAATTGTATAGAATTTGTAAGATATATATATCTCTCTATAAATTTTAAAAGCACTTTCTCAATTTTTTAGCACTTTTTTTAACAAAATGTAACATTTTTATCAACAAAGTTTTGGCAACACTGCACGACACCTCTCCTGTTGGCCAATTCTGGCCGTTTCTGGTCAATTGTAAATGGTTTAAAACAGTTTTTGGTTGATTTTTACATCCTAGGCGATGTTACAACTGCTAACAGGCCGGTCAACTTCGATCATTTCTCCGATTTTATCGCAATTTTCGACGACCGGCTTATGTGTGCGAAGTGCATCTTTACCATCAAAAATTCCTGTAGGGAATCTACGAAAATTGCACATAATTGGCTCTTACAGTATGGAAACCATAAACAAAATTCACAATATTAGCTCTTGGCTTGCATTTTCGCCTTTTTCAAAGAAAAACTGTAAAATGTACCGAATTTTCTCTTTGTTCACTTCCATTTTTAACACCCTGTAACTCACCACTGAATGCACCAAACAAAAAACAGCAAACATTTTTTTACTACGAAATGCCACTCTTCCAAAGAGCATACTTAACGTGATATCTATCAGTACAGCCATCTGCCGAAAAAATAATGGATTTATTTTTCCCCAGCCTAATATATTGAACATTTTCTGTCAAACATACATTTACTATGGCTTTGAAAATATCTAAAATAGATCGGGGACATTTTGACTAGCATCGCTTGAGATCGTGAGACATATTTTCAAGGGGACCATGTAAAACTCCGATAGCCAAACTCCTATGAGTGATAACGTAGATTGTTCTAGAACTTTACTCTGATCTACAATATATTAAGTACCGGTGAATATTTCACAAAATTACTACTAAAACCAGTGAGCGGAGCAGTGTAGTCGGACGGGGCCGACCATACGATATCCTACACAACTACCACGGAACTCTAAGTGCTGCGGATGTTTATTCCGAGCCTGACAATAATTCGTGATATTTGCACCCCATTGCCTTACACTGGCATATTTTCCGAATATTATAAATATTCAGTAAAGCACTTCTAATTAATTGTTCAGATTTCCTTCACCGTGGGTGTTGTTGTGATGTTCGGCTTAGAATTGTGGCCTATATATCGTCTCCATAAAAACACAACAAATTAAGTTTTCGGTCCACTTCATTCCAAAAATATTATCTGATCATCACCGAAATTTATAGGCGTTGTCCTTGACCTTAACTGGAACCTCATGAAAAATTTCAAAGCGATCTGCGATATATTTCCGCCCTCTAATGCGTTACTAAAGAATATATGAATACGTAAGCACCTATAAATATTTCCGCCTTTTGACAATTGCTAAGGCAAAATGGCAGTACGCTACGAACTCTGTGTCGGTCTCAACAAGGGACACAAGACCACCAAAGTCAGGAATGTCAAGTACACCGGTACCAAGAAAGTCAAGGGATTGCGTGGTGCCCGTTTGAAGAACATTCAAACCCGTCACACCAAATTCATGCGCGATTTGGTCCGTGAAGTCGTTGGTCATGCTCCTTATGAGAAGAGAACCATGGAATTGTTGAAGGTTTCCAAGGATAAGCGTGCTTTGAAATTCTTGAAACGCCGTTTGGGCACACACATCCGTGCCAAGAGGAAGCGTGAAGAATTGTCCAACATCCTCACTCAAATGAGAAAGGCTCAAACCCACGCCAAGTAAACATCATCATAGTTTATTGGTGTGTGTGTACAGAAGCTGCTGCTGATGAGTCTGTCTTTGTTATGTGCTTAGTGTATTTTAACACTATTCTTAAAATTTTTACTTGGACAGTAGTGATAATGAATGGAAAAGTAATAAAAAAATAAGAAATAGAAAAACAAAAAAAAAAAAAAAATGTAACTCCCGCATTCGAAAACATAAGACAATATAATTGGTATCAATTTAAAGGCCAACCACTCATCTTTGATACACCATCAACTTCTCGGGTCTATGTCCTTCAGGTGTAAATATGTACGCTATAGAATACAAATTTTGTCATTTTTCACACAAAAGTCAGGGTTCATTTGACCCGGTCAATATTGATCGATATTTATAAAAACAGACATGCTTATTCTTTGGCCCAATCCCCTTCTCCATGTAAAAAATTGAGGTTTTTGGGCCATAATTGCGGCCTCTGGAGCGACCAGAAAAACCAACAAAAATTAAGTATTTGGTCCATTTCATCCCCTAAATATTAAGCGATCTTTACCAAATATTATAGGGGTCTTCATTGGGCCGAACCCATCCTACATGCAAAATTTCGTGAAGATTGGTCCATAACTGTGGCTTGTATCGTGTTTACAAATTATAATGGACAGACGGACGGACACACATGTTTAGGTCGAATCAGCTAGTCGATATATGACGATCGGTATACTTAAAGGTGGGTCTAGGACCAATATTTCGTGGCGTTACAAACTTTTGGGGCTACACAAAGCTATAATGCCCTGACAACATAGTTGAGTAGGGTATAAAAATACATACTATTTATATTTATGTTTTCTTCAAATATAATAAAAATTGAGTATAAGTGGGAAATTACAAAATTAAATTCGTCTGGGTTTGACAACAGATTTGGTGCTATATTTTACCCACTGAAGTAATTACAACTTAATTCTTTGAAAATCCAATCGGTTTGCAAAACATACTGATATTGATATTCATATTCCACCAAGACAGAATCTATCAGCAGAATAAATATCCCAAAATACTACTCCTCCCCAGAAAGAAATACATTTGCTGCCACTCTCTTATGATCTTTCACTTCCCGAAAAATCTCAAAAAATTGATAAGAAATTTCCTCGTAGAAAGCCCACCAAAGTAGTGTGGATATTCAACATAACATACCTTAGCATCTGTCTGTACGTACCCATTTCGAAGTGAAAGATCTCAAAATGCAAGATATAAGTGAGAGCGTATTAACTTTCTTGGATACCTCTTTAAAGTATTTCACATTCTTTCGGTTCGGATTCCTCTGCCTTTCATTTTAACGATTTTGTAAATGTTCAATTTTACGAGCAATTATTACCATTGTTGTTGGTGTTGTTAGCCGACAAGACATGTTAACGGAGTACTAATTGCACATGGACAAAAATAACATAACCTTTCCTTTCCTGTGGCACAACCATACATACACGCATACCACACCAATTTCAATGCCCGGCGCATTACCCTGTAATCGACAATGAAGCCAACAGCACCGATCTGTTGGCAATTTTTTCATTATAAGTGCAGCGAGCGTATCCGTCATACCCTTCTTAAAAAGTTTAGTTTGTGAGGTCTCTCCCTGGAATATTGTTGTTGCTGTGCGGTATTGTCCATGGCTTTTGTTTTAGGCGACAACAAAACGTATGCTTGTTGCTGGCTGCCACATTGATGCATGTGACTTTGCCACAGAATTGTGGGTTTCGCTTTTATTTTGACATTCAACAGAATGAGCGGTGCGGTATGAGGATGCCAGAATAGTGCTGAAATTTTGTGTGTATTTTAGCTTTTCAGCAATTTTGTTGTCTGCTGGCTTTTGTTTTGAGGCAATGGATTTCCTGCCCCCACTCCCCCACTTCCCAACAAGAGTTTAAAGGCCATTGTTTAAACTAAAAAAATCAACAAAACAAGCAAAAATGAGGATGAGGTTTGAACTGCATATGAAGTTGGCTGGCTGGCTGTTTGAATGGTTGGTTGGTTGGCTTAACGGGTATATTTGCCCCCTTTCCATTTCACTGTCACACTCATACCTGTGGCAGGCAATGCCGTAACGCCTGAATGGTAGCCACATTAACCAGATGCCATGGCATGGCATGTCGGTAGTTCGGTTCGGTACAGACAGACATACAGACAAATCATCCATGTGTCAACAACAGCATTCAACACGTGTTAAATGTTTAATGCTAAATACATTCATTCACTCACACTGTCATTCATTCATTCACTCATTCAATTGCCCATTCACTCTGTTTGTTGTCATTGGTTTATTGTTTTGAATGGAGTGGTGTGGCATGGCTTGGCAGTTAGGCTTCTTCATTAACATTTTGAATATCATTCAAATATCACTTCACTTCTCACATTCGCTTTTCTTTTTGGGGGTTTCAATTGTTAATGGTTTAAAAAAAAAACTTCCGTTTCGTTTACTATAAGCACCGCAATTGCATTGTTCGCAAATTAAAGTATCAAGCTTTATAAGAAAAGATTATATTGAAAATGGGGTAGGACGACAATCAGTCTACACATTTTATCCGTGTGCTGAAATCACGAAGGGCTCGCAATATTTGATCCATGTTTTGGCATAGCACTCGTATAAAATTGACCAAATTTGCAATATTTTGAGAATTTAAATTTGATATTTCTCATTCTAAATTACCAAAAAGATTAATATTGGTCAAAGTATCGTGGTAGTCCCCATAATACATGTGGGTGTGCCGTATTCGGTATTTTAGAATTATCTATAATTTAAAAATTTATGTTCGCATTGGGTGGAAGATCTTCCTACCTATATGAAGGTTCAGCCACTTTATAACCTTTAATGCCCTAGGCGAATTTTGTTACCGAAGTGACAATATATTCAGAGGTCGTGGATAGTAATGTTTCTTCATTTTTAATATAAGTCCAAATTTTACCACCACGCCACCACGTTCCTAGCCCAACCAGAGTGTGAATAGCTAGGTATTTTGTTTCCATCTGGCTGCAATTAACATGGCATAGTCCCCAAAGAAAGTCCTGATCGATTTTATGTACTTTGGATTTCCATCTCATAGTTGAGTGTGTATAAAGTTCATCCCAACAAATTGAATGACAATCAGCGGATTTTTTAATAGAATATATATATATATATATATATATATATATTTAACTTCAACCAAGGCGTGGTTTTATATAAAAATTGTTTAAAAATATTTATTTTTTGTACCGTATACAGTATATGTTCTTATACCCTCCACCATAGTATGGAGGGTATATTAATTTTGTCATTCCGTTTGTAACTCACCGAAATATTCATTTCCGACCCTATAAAGTATATATTCTTGATCAGGGTAAAATTCTAAGACGATCTAAGGCTGCTGAAATTTTGCATAGGGTTGTCTTTTGTCTGCAGGCAGGTCAAGTTCGAAGATGGGATATATCGGTCCACGTTTAGGCATAGCTCCCATATAAGGGTACCCCCAAATTTTCGGTATTTTGGGGTTCTTGAGCTCGTTTTTCAACCGAATTCGCTGAAATTTGGTACATTGAGTTCTTATTGGGTACTAAATGTCTCCACAAAAAATTATAAAAATAGGTCCACTTTTTCTGGTAGCCCCCATATAACGGTACCTCCGAATTTTTAGTATTTTGGGGGTTTTCATCGTAGTTTTCCACCGAATTGGCTGTAATTTTGTATTTTGAGTTCTTAACAGGTTCCAAATCTCTCCACAAATAATTATGAATATGGGCCCATTTTTTCGAGTAACCCCCATATAAGGGTACTCCCCAATTTTCGGTATTTTGGGGTTCTTGAGTGTGGTTTTCAACCGAATTCGCTGAAATTTGGTATATTAGGTTCTTATTGGGTACTAAATGTCTCCACAAAAAATTATAAATATAGGTCCACTTTTTCTTGTAGCCCCCATATAACGGTACCTCCGAATTTTTAGTATTTTGGGGGTTTTGATCGCAGTTTTCCGCCGAATTGGCTGTAATTTTGTATTTTAAGTTCTTAGTAGGTTCCAGATCTCTCCACAAAAAATTATGAATATGGACCCATTTTTTTTTTTGGGTAGCCCGCATATGAGGGTTTCCCTAATTTTCGGTATTTTGGGGTTCTTGAGCGCGTTTTTCAACCGAATTCGCTGCAATTTAGTATTTTGTAGTCGTATATGGTAAAAAATCTCCCTACCAAAAAATTTTTAACATTCGCCCTTTTTTTGGGGTAGTCCCCATATAACCCCTTTTTATATTAAAATAGTTATCTAATTTGTTCCGCGTTTTGGGTTTGGTTCTAAGACTCTGTTGTAATATTTTCATCTGCGGTGTATATCGAGATAAAAAACTAGGACGTAAGGTTCGATAATGAACTATAGCCCGGATTTAGGCCTAACCCCTGTGTTGGACGTACCACGAGTGGACCGATATTCCCCATCTTCGAACTTGAACTAAGTTTAGAAGAAATAATAAGATAGGCAAAATGTGGATGAAATCAAAATTTTCTGAAACGGATTTGCTCCAAAGAAACATGGGGTCTAGAACCAATATTTCGATTAGACACATTTTGACTGTATCAAAGTGTATACATCCTCATTAGCCATATGGCTGAGGGTATAAATATCCATTAAAAATTGCTGAAATTGGTATTTGGTGTGCATTATGGTTTACATAATCAGTTTGTAAAAAGTCACTTTTTGTTGCCTATATTTTCATTTCAAGTACCTGTCAGTATATCAATGGTGGAGGGTATCCAAAGTTCGGCCCGGCCGAACTTAACGCTTTTTCACTTGTTTATATTAAAATAGTTAACAGAGTTGTTCCGGTTTTTGAGGCTACCTCATTACTCGAAATTGTCCGTTTACACCCTACATAGTATGGAATTGTAAAATTATTTAGTCTATTTATCCATCTGTTGTAATCGTTCTTCCTTTGGTGGATATTGAGAAAAAATTAGTCAGGTTCGAGAGTGAGTATATCGGCCCGCTTTTGGGCATAGTCCCTATATATAAAACCAATCGGCATAAATTTGGGTCTTTGGTGCACTAAACTATATATCAAAATCGGACTAAACTATATATGTAATCGTTCTTTCTTTGGAGGAGATCGAGATAGAAAACCTAGTT